GATCCATCCCATAATTGGATACACCCGGTTACCCTGATAGACTGGTTTCACTGGAAAAAACATTCATGTTTTGAAATGTTCCTTTGTAAACTAATTATTGCAACCAATCCTAATCAAAAACTTAACAATTGCAGAAAACTAAATCGTTTCTCATTCTTTTAGTAAGTTAGCTAGTCAAGTAGCTGTTTAGGAATTTTTTGTGCATGCACAGAACCATAAATTCATTAGACTGGAGTGAAGAAGTTGATGATCAAAATAACAAAACAAATCCAATTAGTCAAGGAAGATAGGGAAAAAGAAAAGCAATGCCCTAAAAATAAAGAGATCATAAAGACCTTAATAAGTTTTCAGCCTAAAGGAAGTCAGACAGCTGGGAAATGGAATCTTGTTTCCCATATTTGGGATAGCTCAGAACCAGACAAAGAGGAGGATACCCATGAAAATAGTATTTTAATTTTAAAAATTTAATGTCTGGTAAATTAATCCTTTGCTTTGTGGAATGATCAGAAAGCAAATAATTTGTCATGAGCTATGAGAAGAAAATTAATCTAAATTTCAGTGTTTGCTGGCACCCAGGTTTTTCTGATGGAAGAACTCTTCCCCTTTATCTATGTACCAGTCAATTATTTATTTATTAAATGTATATGGCTGCTCATCACATAAGTATGACTCTGGGCAGCCGAGAGGACAAAACCAGAATTAAAAACACAAATAACATAAAAATAGCAGCCAGGAACACTCTCAGCATGTCACATTTAATATAGCCAAGAAATGGACTCAATACAATAACAGAGCTCTAAGCCTATGACAAAGCCAAGTTTTTAATGAGTTGGAGAAGGCCAGTAGTGTTGGGGCAACTCTGATCTCGGAGAGGGTGATGTACCAAAGGGCAGGTGCCAAGGCAGAAAAGGCCCTCCTCCTGGGTCCTGCCAATGTTATTATCTTGCAGATGGGACCTAGAGCATGCCTCTCCTGCGGGATTTAATGGGGTTGCTCTTTTACTGTTTATACAAGGTTTACAGATACAAAATTCCTTTGTAGTTGAATTGTTCCTAATTAATTTATTTGTAGCAATCTCTAATACATATCCCCCCTCTCTCCCTCCCTCTCTCTTTTTCTTTCTCTTTCTCTCTTTCTGTCCCCCCCTCTTTCTTTCTCCCCCTCCCTCCCTCTCTTTCTCTCTTTTTCTCCCCCTCTCTCTCCACTTCTCTCTCTCTCCCTTTCTCTCTCCCTCTCTCTCTTTCTCTCTCTCTCTCTCCCCCTCTCTGTCTCTCTCTTTCTCTCTCTCTTGGTCACCCTCACTCTCTTCTTCTCTCTCTCTCTTTGTCTCTCTTTTTCTTTCTCTCTCTCTTTCTGTCCCCCCTCTCCTTTTCTCTCTCTCTCTTTCTCCATCTCTCTTTCTCTCTCTCTTTCACCCCCCCTCTCTCCCCCTCTGTCTCTCTCTCTTTCTCTTTCTGTCTCTCTCCCCCCCTCTCTTTATCTTCTGAAGACAGGGGAGATGAAAAATGGGCCATTTTAACCCATTTTGATCTCCTCAGGTGTCTGTGCACCCCATTTTTCACCACCCACCTCCAGAAGCATTCTGCAGGCCAAAACCATGCAAAAATAGCTAGTTTTTTTTGGCTAAAATGGGCTGTTTTGCCCATTTTTTTCACCTCCTGGGGCATCTGTGTGTACCATTTTTCATCCCCCCCCAACCCCAGAAGCATTCTGCAGGCCAAAAAACAGGCAAAACAGCTTGTTTTTGGTCTCTGCAAGCCAAAATTGTTGGCCTTACCTTTCACTTCCAGCTTGCTTGGCTGCGGATTGTAAGTCCTGCGCCCAGCCAAAGGGTGGGCGTGGCAATGTGGTCCTGTGTGGGCCGGATTAATGACTTCAGTGGCCCGCAGGCCATAACATGAGGACCCATGTACTATACCTTCTTAACAATTGGAATAACCTCAGCAGCTACTGACCTTTCTCCTTGGTTTGCTATTCTCTTCTTTGCTTCTACTTGTCATGCAGTATCCTTTTTGCAATTGTAAGGAAGAGTATTATTGAAAAGGCAACCCAGTATGAGGTGCTGAGTATGGCAAGTTTATCCACCTTGGAAGAATGGAAAGGTGAGTCAAACTTGAGCCGGTTAGAATCGAACTGCTGGCAATTGGCAGAAATAGCCTACAATACTGCATTTTAACAACTGTGCCGCTACAGCTCTTATTCAGGAAAGATGGACATCAGCATAGGGTGTCTTATTTAAGGGCCCACTAAATATAAGAATTGACTTCATAGATGGGAGCAGAGAAGAGAAATATTTGCTGCAAACTGTGATATCAAAAAGATGCATTCAAGGTATGAAGTTCCACCCCAAGAAAGATTCATATCAATTCTGTGCCCCTTTTGTGCATAATATGGAAAACTTGTATGAAGGCTGCTCACATACTAGTGATGTGAAAATCCCATAACTGTGATATGATGTTCCTCTAGTCTATCAACATTTACAAACTACCTAATTCCTTCTCTTCTTTTTTTTTTTTGAAAATAATTTTTTTATTTTTGGTTAAACAAACACAACACAATAAAATAAAATAAAATAATCTTTCGTTACATATTGTAGAAGTGTGTCGATTGGTTACAAATAACTTTCGTGCATCTCTTCCACAGTCATTACTTATAATTCATATTGCATTGTATATTTTAAATCAAAAATCTTTATATATCTTACTATCAACATCCCACAATTCTCATTTGACTATACCTGTTTTAATGTCCCTTTGCTTAAAATAATCCAAAATTGAAAAACACAACTACATGACACTTCATTAATTATTTCTAATATCATCCAATAACATTACTCCTTTATAACATGTTCTAGGTAAGAATTAATTATGATTGCTAATAAAATTTCTAATCCTCTTTTCCAAGTTGCTGTTTACTATTTGTATCCTAATACTTTTTATTGAGCCAGTACATATATATATTGTTAA